TAAAATTGATCATTCTAATTTGGGACAATATTAATATATCTTGGCATATAAGGACAATGAAACTATAGTATTCTAATACACACATAATTATTTTTGCACATTGATTTGTACATTTATTAAAATAAGAATGAAAGGATGCCAGAGTAGGATATCCCTAGCAATATGTTTTTCCATTGCACATGTTTATTGTTTTGAAATTATTGCATAGATTGCATGCAAATATCAAACTTTAATATTTGTAATAAAGAAAACATTTTTTGTAACAAGCTGTGTGATATGCTTGTTTATATATTTCTTTTATAGATATGTTTATTTCAATAGATTATATTCCAAAATTATTATTATGCTATTGAGTAGAATTCCACTCTAAAGGTGATTATTTAATTATAATCTTCACTTAAATTTGACTACGCATGGATATAAAGATGGGGCAAATGGATGCTGGGATAATTACAATTTTCACTTTAATTTGACTACACATGGATATAAATATGGGGCAAATGGACACTAAGAACTACTAGAGGGGGAGGGAAGGAATGGGGCAAGGGCTAAAAACTATTTCATACTATGCTCACTACTCATAGTATGTGAGTGAGCATAGTATGAAATAGATAGTTCTTACCCCGAATCTCACCATCACCCAATATACCCATGTAACAAATCCGCACATGTACCCTCTGAACCTAATACAAGTTGAAGTTAAAAAAGAAAAAACAAAGTACTTTTGAAATAAAAAAACAAGAAGAAAATATTTCATTTACACTATAAAATTAAGAGGGAATCCTGTAAACAGTTCACTTGAGGTGTAAAAGCATAACAGTCATTTAAACAGTGGGCTTATTTCTTTTATGGACATTAGTCTGAGCAAATCTTTTGTGCAAGCATATTTATAATTTTGTATTATACTGTCACTCTGGCCTTACATTGCCTCATTTACTGTACTTCTTTTGTTAGTGTCATATCTTCTTTTCAGTTTAGTTGCAGTCACTTAATTCCTTTTCTTTTTAACCTTCCTAATGATCCTCATTTTTACATTTATTTTCTTCTTTTGATGCTTTGGTTCAATCTGCTGGCATATGAATACATGTTCAATATTCAATTATTAAAAATAAAGAGGTTTTATCTTTGAAGTTTTGCCAGTTCTCATGATGTGAATATACCTATCACAGTCACCTTCAAACAGCTACCGTAATATCACTGAATGTGCGTTTGGGCAGACATGTGCACAATTGGCTCTCATTGTAAGCTCGCTTCAGAACACCAGTATCTGTATTCCTCATTACAGTGAAAGCTGAGACGTGGTCTGATTCACTGTTATATTTCCCAGTTCTTAGAACAGTACTTAGCACATTGCCAACACAGTGGCATTTATTAAATCAATGAATGAATGAACAAAAGATGTTACTCTCACTTCCAAGAAAGAGTACAGTGAAGTATTTCCCTGATGGAATGTCCATGTGATTCTAGCCCTTTTCCACCCTCTTCCAGAATCCAATGATGAAAGAAAATATAAATAATTTGGGTACCCAGTCCTTGAGATCACTTTCTGAAGGAATGATGTTAACATTAATGAATAAAAAAGGAAGAAATAAAAAGCACACCACACATACTTTGTGTTCTGGTAGCACTAGCCCTAAACAGAATATGAGTAAGGTAACAAAAGAGTAACCTGAGATATATTAAAAATGGCTTTAAAACCAGAAGGGAGAAAGAAAGGAACAATAGAAGGAAGGGGAAAGGGGAAAAGTGAAAAACATATAGAAGAAGGAAAGGAAAATAATATGAAATATTCATGAAGTGCCTACTCTGAATTATGTACCCTTTTATTTGCTTTATATAAATTATATTGTAAAGTTGAAAATATGTGCTCTGGAGCAGAGCTGTGTAGAATGAAACCCGCTTTTGATTTTTACTGATGGTGTGACCTTTAGCAGATTAGTTAATTTGACCATTGCTTCAGTTTCCTATTTGACTGTCCTTCCTACCATGAGACTATAATGAACCAATGCATGTAAAAATGCTTAACACTGAGTCTGACATTTGGTGAGCATATAATAAATTTTAACTACAATTATTTGATGAAAATCTAACAATAGCCCTATGAGGTTTGTATACTTACTATTTTTACTTTTTTGATAAGGAGTCTGAAACACAAACAGATAAAATAATTTACTCAAAGCCACACAGGTATTAATCATGCAGCCATCTTCCAGGAAATACCAATAGAAAACAGGATGTAGGATTTGAGTGCAGGCAGTTAGCCTCCAGGGTTTTTAAACCCTATGTTATTACAAGAAGACATGCAGGTACCATTAGTGGAAGAAAATTTGAGAAAACAAATGATTAACAACCAAGAAATTACAAAATAAAAATCTACAATCTATGAAAAAAAATTAAATAATGAGATTAATTAATTCATTTAACAAATACTTATTGGGCACCAATTATTGGGTCAACCACACTTTTAGATACTGAGAATTTAACTGTGGACTGGTCTCTACTGTCACAGAATATACTTTATAACACAGTATAAAATGACATAACGAATGGAAATGCTGTTTGTAAAGGTAGCAAAATCTTCAACAGAAAAATCAATATTATTAGAAACTAATAATTTTTTAAAGAAAGGATATAGCATATCAACATATGAAAAATAGGTATCCATAGTAGAGAATATAACAGTGGAACAGTTAATGACTTCTGACATGAAGGAAGTACTGAGATGGAAATTGAATAGGATTTGTTTTCTTTCAGAAAAAAAATCAGTGGAAAATATATATGCTGATATAGGTAACAAAATTTGAGGATTAAAAATCTCTTCTATACAATAGATTAAAAAAGCATAGCACCAATAAGAAAATACAAATCTTGGATTGGGTTCTAATTTTTTTGTTCCAAAATGTCCAATAGATAGTGGAGCCTGTCTGCCAGAATATGAGCAAAAAATAGTGGGATCTAAATATGTTGTACATAGATTGTTATTCATGTCAATGGGATAAGAAGTTGGTCTCATATATGTACTAACTCAGCAGATACAATAATTTGGAAACTTCTTGAGAAGGTTGTAGTTAAATACACACTGTAATTACTTATAATACTATTAAATGCAATATTACAATTTAATGCATGGAGAAGCTGCCTTATTAAAATATTGAAATAAGCATTGAAATAATCTGAATGTAGAATACAGCTATATGTTTGAGCAAATACAATTGCAGAATAAAAAATAAATGTTATAATTACTAAAGAAAACTCCAATCTCTTAACTATGTATATAGAAAATACGAGGAAAAGATCTCAGGTAATACTACAAAAATTGGGAAGGATAGGTGGTGTATTGGTTTCCTATTACTGCAGTAGCAAGTTGTCACACTTAGTGTCTAAAATAGCAAACATTTGTTACCTTGTAGGTCTGAAGGTCAGAAGACTGGAATGGTTTCCACTAGGCTTATCAAGATGTTGGCAAGACTGCATTTCTTTCTTTAGGTTCTGTGGAAGAATCTGTTTTCTCGCTTTTCTTTTCCAGCTTCTAGAGGTTGCCTGCTTTCCTTGGTTCATGGTCCTTTTCAATTTTTAAAGCCAGCAATGACCCATCAAGTTGGTACCACCTAGAATCACTCTAATACTGATGCTTCTGTATCTCTTCAACTGTTAAGGACTCTTATGATTATGTTAAGCCCGCCTATATAACCAGGATATCCTACTTAAAGATAAGCTGATCAGCAACCTTCATTCCCCTCTGCTATGTAACCTTACCTATTCCAAAGTTCTAGAGAGTTGTACAGAGATACTTGGGAAGCCATTATGCTGCTAACCATAGATGGTAGGAAGTTTAAATTTTATAGCTAAGGACAACAAGCATTCATTCATTTCTAAGGCAGATAAATATTGAGATATTTTACATTTATACAATTTTTCTATAAAACTGTCAGATTAATTTCCATTTATGGGCACATATAACCTTCTGTTTAATTAATTAACAAGGTGTACAGAAAAGAGATAACAAGAAGGTCAGAGACTGCTTCCCTTAGAAAAGTCTGCTTGCTAAGTTGGCCCTTGGTTGGAGTCTGGGAACTTAAGTAATTATCACTGCCTATACTGTTCTGCATACATTGTGTATTAATAGAATTATGCTAAGTGAAACCAAGACAAGTAACCTAGCCCTATTTTAAGAGACTCAAAATATGGTGGCTGTATTTGTATACAGAAGCATATTAAAATGATATTCAGGTCAGGTGCATTGGCTCATGCCTGTAATCCTAGCATTTTGGGAGGCTGAGGTGGATGGATCACTTGAACTCAGGAGTTCAAGACCAGCCTGGCCAACATGGCAAGACTCCAACTCTACAAAAAATACAAAAATTAGCTGATCATGATGGCATGCACCTGTGATCTCAGCTACTTGGAGGGTTGAGGCAGGAGGATCACTTGAACCTGGGAGATTGAGGCTACAGGGAGCCGAGATGATGCCACTGCATTGCAGCCCAGTTGACAAAGCAAAACCCCTGCAAAAAAAGTAATTAACTGAGTCAGAACAGAATATGGGAAATAGAAGAAGCTTATTTGTTTAGGAGTTTCAAAGATGTAGACATCATATCTTGTTCAGATTATCAGGAAAGCTAGAGGCATGAAAGTTAGCTTTAAATTAATAAGTGGGTCTTGAGAGACGATACCTGGAGATAGAGGGAAGGAGAGTTTTGGAAGGCAAAGGAAATGGATAGCGTGCATGCCTAAAGAAGTGAAATATAGAGTGTATTAGAAATAAAATATAATAATAACCAGTATGGCACAAATTGGAATTTTCAAATGCTCTTGGTTAAAATCCTAATAATTCGAGTGCCTTATTTATAATTCAGTTTCATGTAAAACTTATAGATTATTATAGAAAGACCATAAAAATTCCATGGGATTCTACAAGTGTTCCTCTTAAACTCAAGCACAGAATTTATGTTCTACTGGTTCCTAATTATGCTTTTCTTTTCTGTCTCTTCTTTGTTAAGGTTCATCATGAATGAGACATGGGATTCAAACTCTTCAGAAAACTGGCATACCATCTGGAGTCTCAATGACACAAAGCATCATCTGTACTCAGATATTAATATTACCTATGTGAACTACTATCTTCACCAGCCTCAAGTGGCAGCAATCTTCATTATATCCTACTTTCTAATTTTCTTTTTGTGCATGGTGGGAAATACTGTGGTTTGCTTTATTGTAATGAGGAACAAACATATGCACACAGTCACTAATCTCTTCATCTTAAACCTGGCCATAAGTGATTTACTAGTTGGCATATTCTGCATGCCTACAACACTACTGGACAATATTATAGCAGGTATGTTGGCTTTTGTGCAGTTCAAAGATAAAATGAAATGTTTGTCTCATATTTCGGCAGTGATGGAAGGGTTGTTCATTCATTCATTTATTTGCAGATATTTATGGAATTCCAGGACCTGATCCAGGCACCTGCCCTCCTGGGGCCTACATTCTGGAGTAGATGGACAATAAACAAATAGATAATTAGAGAATGAGAAGGATTCTGGAGGAAAATGAAAGTGATATAACAGAAACAATGTGGAGGATGCTATTTTTATAGAGTATTCACTGGAGGACATGAGAAAATAAGATTTAGTATGTCTTACCTGGAGCCTTTGAATTTTCTTAATAAATTTCAGGGCACATATAATATGGTAGAAATATTACTATGAGCTGTAAAGTCCAAAGAACTGACACATCTGATTTCAGTTAATGCGATGTCTTCAATCTAACGTAAGTAGAAATATAGCCCCTCATGTGGTTAGCTAGGGAGATTTCCAACAGTTATTGAGAGAAGATGTAACAATCAATGATTTTTCAAAAACTGGTAGTTTATGTGTGCAACATAAGTCAGTTTACATTGTAAAGCTTAAGGTCGCACCCTATGTTACTTCTGGGCCCACAGTACTACTTCTTTAGCACTACTTTATATGCTCCTGAAGTGCAGGAAAAAATGTAACCTAAGGAGAAAATTAGGCCCTTGTGTGGTTAGCTTCCAGTACACTGTCTGTACACAATAACACCTTAATAAGTATTTGTTGTATTAATTAAAGAGCAGTGCTCACAGTATTCACATTCAAAATCTGTAAAATAAAAAGAGAACATTAGCTGCATATGAAATAAGTTTAGAGCAGCATGAGCCATAACAAAGCTCATGAGAGGATTGCTTGAGCCTGGGGCCAGGGGGGTGGGGGTGGGGGGAGCAGAGGGGTTAAGGCTACAGTGATCCATGATCACACCACTGCACTCCACCCTGTCTCAAAACAAAGAAACAGGCCGGGTGCAGTGGCTCCTGCCTGTAATCCTAGCACTTTGGGAGGCCAAGGCAGCCAGACCATGAGGTCAGGAGTTTGAGACCAGCCTGACCAAAATGGTGAAACCCCCATCTCTACTAAAAAGACAAAAATCAGCCAGGCATGGTGGTGCGTGCCTGTAGTCCCAGTTACTCAGGAGGCTGAGGCAGCAGAAGAATCCCTTGAACCTGGGAGGCAGAGGTTGCAGTGAGCCAAGATCACGCCACTGCACTCCATCCTGTGTGACAGGGCAAGACTCCGTCTCAAACAAACAAACAAACAAACAAAACAAAGAAACAAAAACAAAACATCACCAGAAAAAAAAAAAAAAAAAACGACTTGATCTAGTTAACTGCTTCTTAGCAGCTGTGTTTCAGAGTGAGACATAGTGTGGCTGCCTGATAGTTCTGCATGCCTGGAAGTTCACGTTAGGACCACTATCCACTTTACTAGTCTGGACTCTTTAATGGGAATTTCACAACTGTCAAAATCTACACATGAGTGTTTTTGAACAGGTCACTTTTTCCAGAAGGAGATTCTCTAACATACTGCCATAGGAATGTGAGGCTGGCTGTGGCATTCCACATTGCCATGCAGTGCAGCGGTATACTTTCGCTTAATCCTTCTGCATCACAGTGGCACTCATTAGCCCTGTACCTGGTGACTCGAGGTTTAGAGTACTTATAGTTCTGCCTCCTCAGAGAGTAAACCTCCATTCTTCTATTAACATGGGGGGAAGCCACTGGCATCTAATTGGATTTATACATATTTTCCACCAATCATGTCATTTTCTCAATCCTACATTTAGTGGTATCTGGCACTTTAATTTCTAAGGATTTATGCTCTTTTATCCTACAGCTATCATTTCAGTGGAATTGTGTGAGGGAGATTAGGTAAAACATATACTTAATATTCCATGTTCAATCATTGGCCACACACACATTTTTGAATTTTTGTTGACGATACTACCATAAGCTAACACATTTTAGGACTGAAAAAGATATTCCCTTTTGGTTTCTACTCACCAGAGTCACTCAAGCACTTATTTTAATATAATCTGGATAGGTGATTTATGAAAGATATATTTGAATTGTTTAAGTTATTTAAAGATACTTTATGAGTAAGAATTTTATTTTTTGGAAAATAAATTGCAGAAAAAATTTAAAAAAATTTTAAAACTCAGAGAAATGCATAATATTCATCTTTTGGGAAATGAGAATATTTGCTAGGAGAAAAATCTTGTTACTTTTCTGTAATAGCAGATGAGTGTTTAGAATATCAAACTACTACAATAATTTTAATAATTTTTTATAAATTTACGGTAGCTAAGGTTTAGTAGGAAAGTAATTCAAATAGACTATTTTTATTCATACAAAGTGCTCTTTATTCTGGATGTACCTCTGGGGTAAATTCTCTCATTTCATTCTATATAAATATAGTTTATTCTGTATGTAACTCCTGACTCCTTATAATTTATAGGGTGCCTTTCCAAACTAGAAAACTGACATTCTGTTTATTCATTTAAAGGGCATTATTGCATCAGAGTCAATGGTTTAGACTCTGGAGTCTTACGGCTCAGGTTCAAATCCTTAAAAGGCTTCTAACTAGCTGTGGCAAAGTATGTGATATTTATTTATTTGTTACCTCATCTATATTGTGAGGAATATAACAGAGGCTTCAAAAGCTTGTTGTGAGGATTAGATATGTTAATAGACATAGACCACTGGTAGGTAGTGCCTAGAATGTGATAACTACCGTGTAAGTTTTGACCTTGTTGTAAGTATACTGAAAAACAGAGCTCTGGAGCTATTAGGGAAAATACTAACAAACATTGATTGTTCTCTACCTATCATGTAGAAAACAGTTGCACTCGTCTTGATTCCACACCTTTATGTTTTTATCTTCAGTGAGATTTTTAAAATATGATCTTTTGAAAGACTATTTCATTTTCCTTTCAGGATGGCCATTTGGAAACACAATGTGCAAGATCAGTGGATTGGTCCAGGGAATATCTGTGGCAGCTTCAGTCTTTACATTAGTTGCAATAGCTATAGATAGGTAAGTCTGCACCAAACTCTGAATCCAGAAAAATGGGCATGTCTGGAACTAATATACCAGAAAAATATATAACCTACTAAATTTGGACTTATCTTTTCAAATTGTATTCAGTATATCTACCTCTTTAAGAGCAATATACCTACTAAAGTTTCAGTAATGATAAAATAAAACTATTGAGTTTTTCATACTTTAAATAATTGAAGATGGTAAAATTTTTCTATTTTTCACACTACAGTCTAGAATGTTCTAACAGGAGAAATGCAAATGTGCTGAAATAAATTGAAATTTTATCTAGATTTTAAGATTGAAAATCATTCATTCATTCATTCCTTACACATGTTGAGCATTTATGATGTGCCAGGTACTGGGCTGGGTTGTGTAACATTTAAAACAAATAGAAGTGCTACCTCAGGAAGGCTACAATCTGGTGGAGCAGATGCAGTTATTGACAAATACTTACAAATTATGCTTTCTAATAGGGGACCAGCTATGCAAAAGAGACAATAAACAATTATACCTGTTAGGACCAGGTGCAATGGATTCACAAAATAGGTGAGACTTTCTGATTCCTTGGGGAGTCAGAAATTTACACTTAGAAGAAATTGGGAAAAGGCCATCCCTTAAGACAAGTATATGCTTATGGCATTGAAATAGAAAGCACTTGTCCAGAAGTGCAGAGAGGTAGTTCAGCTGGAACAAGGAAAGTGAAGTGGTACATTCATCCACAGAGAGATTTATTATGAGAAACTGGCTCACATAATTATGAAAACTGAGAAATCCCATAATGCTGCCTGTAAACTGGAAACCTAGGAAAGCCCGTGATATTATTCAGTCCAAGTCCAAAAGCCTGAGAACTAGGGAGAGCCAATTTACAATTGGCCATTTGTGTAAATTGCATTCTGAGGGCAGGAGAAGTTGATATATAAGATGTCCTAGCTCACGCAATGAGGCAGGAAAGAAGGGGGCAAATTCTTCCTTCCTCCACTTCTTATTCTGTTCAGGCCCTCAAAGGACTGGATGATGCCTACACACACTGGGAGGGCAATCCATTTTACCGAGTCCAGTGATAAGATGCTAATCTTATCCAGAAACACTTTCATAGGCACATCCAGAAATAAGATTCAATCTGGGTGCCCATTGGCCCAGTCAAGTTGATAGATTCATTAGCCATCACACTTTTGTAGCAGAGACCCTCAGTGCTCTGGCAAATCTCTTACACCTTTCAGTGGGTTCTGTCTTACATCGAACTGCCAATGTCTTCATCTCTGCATCTCAAATCCAAATTGTGCAAAGTCTCAGTTCTTAAGCAAAACAGACAAGAAATGACAGATAATACCCCCAGAATTAGCTCTCGACTAAAATATCATGAGAGTTGATGTACTCAGCTTTCTCTCCCCTTGGGTTGCATAATTCTGCAATGAATGGTTTGATTCACATCCCTTGCTACTTACCTTTCCATTAATAAATTACTTCTCTGTACTTTCAGTTAACTATTGATATATGTAATGAACCACACTCAGATCAAACCACTTAGTGAGTTAAAATGACAGCAATATTTATTATGTCATGAACCTATGATAGGTACAGATTTAGTAAGTACAGCTTGTCTCTGTTCTACTTGGTGTCAGTTGGAGCAGCTTCAAGGTTAGGGCTGAAGCTTCTTCCACTCTCATGTTGGTACCTAGTCTAGAGAGACTTGAGCATGTGGGGGCTAAGAGAGTTCTGTCTCTATTGGTCTCTCCAAATGGGCTCTCCAGCAAGGCTCCTTTAAGGCACCTGGACTTCTTATGTGTCAGTTCAGGGCTCTGAAAGTCTGTATCCCAAAAGAGAGTACCAGCAAGAAACATGATGCGGTATCATTTCTGTTGCATTCTATTCATGATATTGAGTCATTAATCCTTCATAAAGCAGAAGGGAATAGAATTTGGAAGCAATGTTTAAGAACTTGGACATGTCTTAAAACTACCACATCTTTATTCCTTGAACTTGTAGTAAATACCATTTTTTCAGGGCTAGCTTTTGCAGGAAGCCAAACTAAAAACCTCACAAGCCAATTTCTCCTGACTCAATCCTTTGCCTGAATTTTACAATTACATTCAAAAGCACCTACTGTACAACTTCACCTTCACGTTCAACAAAAGGCATCATAAGTTAAACATGTCCAGAACTGAACTACTTATTCCGAGCCCCAACCCACACACAAACAAAATAAAAGGCAGCTCTTCCTCTCATGCTCCCCAAATCAATGAATGATAGGATCACTCACTCAATTCAAACAAATTGAAATGAGTTTCTGTCTTCAACTTCTTTGCTGTCACTCTCCAAGTCCAATTATTTCTGAGTGCTAACTAGTTCTGAGCCAGGCCACTGTTACTTGTCACTTGGAATACTGAGACAGTTTTCTAACTGGCGTTAGGGTTTCAGGAAGCTAGCCTCCAATTTATTTTTTTCGCATAGCAGCCAAATAATCTTCTTAAATTGTAAAGATGATCCTGCCCTTCATCATGTAAATTCTTCCATGAATCCCTATTGTTAAATAAAACCCAAACATTTTAGCACAATTTTAGTAATTATTATAGTTTTTAATATTTTTAATATTTCCATTGACTATTTCTCAGCAGTGACTATTCTCTTTCTTGTTCATCCTTGCCTCCCTGAAAATAAATACAAACACTTATATAAGCATGTATAACAATATATAAGCATATATACACATATATGTACATTTATCAAACAAATATGTAAGTACATATATTTGTTATAAGAACAAATATATACATACATATATGTACAGATGTATATATTTACTTTTATATTTGTTCATTTTTATTGCTAAGAGTGTCTGCTTTACGTCATTTATTCAAATTTTGGGTTTATCTCATATATCAATATATGTGCTTATATATTTAATAAACAAATGAAATAACAACATCCAAAACCCTGTTAGTTGGTATGCAAAAAGAGCAAAATACATAAACCTGTGCCTATGAAATTACCCATAATTTCAGGGTAGGTGAATGGGAGGATACATGGATTAGAAGACTGGAAGAACACTTGGAGGTGAAGAGAAGATCTTATGCATGAAGGAGTTGTAAAGAATGACAACAGAGCAGTGAAAACCCAAACTAACCAGTCATTCTATGAAAATAAGTTAGATAAGTTAATTTGGCTGCTCATCCACTTAAAGATCTACATTTTCTCATCTACAGATCTAGAATATAACAATTTTCATACCATTTCAGTTTTATAGAGTTATAAAAATCAAAGAAGATTAAATAGGTAATGGGTACGTTGAAAAAATATAAAATGTTACACAGTTGCATTTAGTATGATTATCTTATGATTAACATAATGAACTTCAATAATAACAATAACAAAAATTCACAATGTCAAAATCATGGTAAAATGACTCAGGCTTACTCTACACAGTGCTGCTGAATTTTTGCGCTCACCAGAGGACATAGAATGTTAGGAAGGCTCATAATTAGAACTCATAATGAATTCTCTCAGATTTTTACAGCTGTATGGTAAATCACCAAAACACTTAGTGGCTTCAAACAATATTCGTTTATTACATCTCATGATTTTGTGGGTTAACTGGACACCTCTGTGTTCACCCTTGTGCTCCATGTGTTATAGCTGGAATCACTCATGTTGCAGCATTACCCTGGGAGCTGAGCTGGGCTGTAATATCCGAAATAGCCAGCCTCTTAACCCCCAGCATCTTTCTCCATATGCCTTTCATTTATTTCAAGCTTCTTGGAACTTGAAGCCTGGATTTTAAGAGGAAGCTTTCCAAAAGGACCTTCCCCTACATGCAAGTGCATAAAAATCTTCTGCTTGCATCATGTTTGCTAATATCCTATTGGCTAAAGCAAGTTACACAGATTATGCATAGGGGACCACACAAGAGCCTGAGGGATAAATGGTTCAATGATTGCTACTGAATAACAGTCTACCACAGCCCAACAGAGCTACCCATCTAATGAGCGCACTGTAGAGGTTGAGTTTGAGCTCTGAAACCAAACTACTTGTGTTGAAAGAAAGAGAGAGAGAGAGAGAGAGAGAGAGAGAGAGAGAGAGAGAGAGAGGGAGAGAGAGAGGAGGGAGGGAGGAAGGAAGGAAGGAAGGAAGGAAGGAAGGAAGGAAGGAAGGAAGGAAGGAAGGAAGGAAGGAAGGAAGGAAGGAAAAGAAAGAAAGGAGACAGTCCATGCAAATCAGTGAAAAGAAAGAGAGAGAAAGAAAGAAAGAAGAAAAAGAAAGAAAGAACGAAGACTGTCCATGCAAATCAATGAAACAGAGTCTGAATCGGTTTTAAGAATTCATGTTATTACCTTTTATTATTAATAGTGTCTGCTATACTTCATTTGTCCAAATTCTGAGTTAAAATTGATCTCATATATCAAATACAGAAAATGACAATGCATGCCTTTCTACAATAAATGGTAACTTTCTATATTTTTAAGGGGACTGTGAGGTGAGAGGCCTGTGATTACATAGATAAATGTTGTGTATGACTTGGTCAGAAGTTATAAAGCAGTGACTCATTTATATTTGTCTTCATTGCAGGTTCCGGTGTGTGGTCTACCCTTTTAAACCAAAACTCACTATCAAGACAGCCTTTGTCATTATTATGATCATCTGGGTCCTAGCCATCACCATTATGTCTCCATCTGCAGTAATGTTACATGTGCAAGAAGAAAAATATTACCGAGTGAGACTCAACTCCCAGAATAAAACCAGTCCGGTCTACTGGTGCCGGGAGGACTGGCCCAATCAGGAAATGAGGAAGATCTACACCACGGTGCTGTTTGCCAACATCTACCTGGCTCCCCTGTCCCTCATTGTGGTCATGTATGGAAGGATTGGGATTTCACTCTTCAGGACTGCAGTTCCCCAGACAGCCAAGCAGAACCAAGAGCAGTGGCACATGGTGTCCAAGAAGAAACGGAAGGTCATTAAGATGCTTCTGATTGTGGCCCTGCTTTTCATTCTCTCATGGCTGCCCCTGTGGACTCTAATGATGCTCTCAGACTATGCTGACCTTTCTCCAAATGAACTGCAGATCATTAACATCTACATCTACCCTTTTGCACACTGGCTGGCATTTGGCAACAGCAGTGTCAACCCCATCATTTATGGTTTCTTCAATGAGAATTTCCGCCGTGGTTTCCAAGAAGCTTTCCACCTCCAGCTCTGCCAAAAAAGAGCAAAGCCTAAGGAAGCCTATGCCCTAAAAGCTAAAAGCCATGTGAGCATAAACACATCTAATCTGCTTATCCAGGAATCTACATTTCAAAACCCACACGGGGAAAACTTGCTTTATAGGAAAAGTGCTGAAAAACCCCAACAGGAATTAGTGATGGAAAAACTAAAAGAAGCTACCAACAGCAGTGAGATTTAAAAGAGCTATTGTGATAGTCCTAACTCTACTGTGTATTAGATATTTAAATACCATTGCTTTTTGTGGCTTTGTGCTTAAAGTTTGTCAGAGAATGTTCTAAGTGAAACATTTACTGAAAGCCCTCTCTGCCAAAAAAAATTAACAAAAATGGTCATAAGATCATAAACAATCTTATGCTTTATAAAAATACATACGGTGACTCATACATGTTTGCATGAATAAACACATTTCTAGATAACAGTCTACAAAGCATCATCTTTCCCAACTTAACCATTTGTGTATGGGTCAAATCAACCCCACATGTGTGTGTGTCTGTGTGTGTGTGTGCATGTGTGTGTATGTGTGTGTATTTCACCCAAATGGTGATGACGAGCAATGCTTTGCATGAAACTATATTTTATTAATTTCTCCTTTGATTTTGGATTCAAAATCATTTTAATTAATTCAAAAATTAATAAAATTTTAGACTACAGGATTATTAATCTGCTTATGTTTTTAAAATGTACTTAGTTTTCTAAGAAATATATTCAATCACATGAAATTCTTTGCTACTGATTTTCTCATCTCCATTACTTCATTTCAGTTAATCTACAAAGGCAAGATATTATAGGTCCACGGGTAATTATATTGCAGAGGACCTCACTTCCTGTGTGTTGGAACTGTAGTAGCAAATAAAGGAACACATATTTCTTTATATTTAAAAGCTGATTTTTTTTTTTTTGAGATGGATTCTCACTCTGTTGCCCAGGCTGGAGTGCAGTGGTGTGATCTTGGCTCACTGCAACCCCTGCTTCCCGGTTCAAGCTGTTCTCTCCTGCCTCAGCCCCACTGAGTAAATGGGATTACAGGTGCACACCACCACACCTGACTAATTCTTATATTTTTAGTAGAGATGAGGTTTCACCTTGTTCAAGCTGGTCTCCAACTCCTGACCTCATGATCTACCTGCCTTGGCCTCCCAAAGTGCTGGGATTACAGGCATGAGCCACTGTGCTAGTCCTTTTAAAAAGAGTACAAAGGAGTTTTGTTGGCTTTTTCATATTTTCGTAAGTGAAGTTGATGCCCTAGCTGAAAACGCATTAGTTACAGAGCTGAATGAGGACTCCAACTCAATGCCTTTTTCTAACAGAATCTCTGATGTAAAGAAACAAACCCTTTAATAACACAGCAGTTAGCAGGAAAACGGCACCTCTTCTTTGAAGTGTTTAATCATAGATGTTTAACAATAATCATAAAACTCTCACATAGAGAGCAAGAACAATTATTTCAAATTTTCCACAGAGCACATTTAAATCCAGCACCCTGGGTTTAGTAAATTAGTATTATTGTTTAAAAAATAATGGACAACCCCTGGACTCAGCTGTTAGAATTATCTAATGATGATAGTCGTCAATGTTAGCTTTTATTTTAGGGTGATGTAAGTCCCTAGAAAATTGGAAATTATAACAAAACAGTTCGGCAAATATAATTTCTGGAAGTGAAGCTATTATATTTCTTTCAGTCATTCTTGTGGTTCAAACTAAAAGCATTTGCTATGGGTTGGACGTGGTTTGTCTCCACCAAAACTCATGCCAAAATTTGACTCCCAATGTGCCAGAGTGGGGAGTTGGAATCTAGTGGGAGGTGTTCAGATTATGGGGCACCACCCTCATTAATAGATTAATGTCATTTCACAGGAGTGAGTTCTCTTCATTATGGCAAAAGTGGGTTGTTATAAAGCAAGGCTCTTCCCATGTTTTGTGTCTCTTTGGACCATGCCTGCTCACTTTTCTGCTTCTCTGCCATGTTGTAACATAGGACATGACTCTCACAAGAAGCCAAGCAGATGCCAATGCCATGCTATTAAACTTTCCAGTCACCACAGCTGTGAGCCAAATAAACCTCTTTTCTTTGTAAATACAAAGCCTCAGAATTCCATTATAACAAAACGAAATGGAATAAGACAACTTTTCAACATTCTAGTCTTTTGAGAAATAATTGTTAGGTTTTTGTTGTTGTTGTTGTTGTTGTTGTTGTTGTTGTTGTTGTTTTATTTTGTTTTGACAGAGTCTCACTCTGTTTCCAAGGCTGGAGTGCAGTGGTGGGATGTCAGCTCATTGCAACCTCTGCCTCCCAGGTTCAAGTGATTCTCCTGCATCAGCTTCCCAAATAGCTGGGATTACAGGTGTGCACCACTGCACCTGGCTAATTTTTGTATATTTTTAATAAAGATGGGGTTTCACCATGTTGGTCAGGCTGGTCTTGAACTCCTGACCTCAGGTGATCCACGTGCCTCGGCCTCCCAAAGTGCTGGGATTGCAGGTGTGAGCCACCACACCCAGCCAATTTTCATTTGAATTAAACTATGTGTTATTTGAATATACAAGTATTATTTCCAGCAATGAAGGGCAGCTCTTAAAAGTTGTAGGTATAGAATTTGATCATATATTCTTTTACCTTGATTTACTGAAATATTATTTACAATCAGTGTACTCAGGCATAGAAGATTGTTTTGATATTGACTATCACTTTCTTATGAGCCTCCTCGTATGGATACACATTCTACCAGCACTTGAAACTCATTATAACTAAATATCATGTCCTACCATTCATCTGTCTGCTTTTATCACCTTCTATCTCCTGTTACCTCTTCCCTAATGGTTGCAAAACTTTCCTTACTGTATCTTATCCTGACATTCAGACTTGCATCTTTTAGTTATTTCTACAGTTGGCAAAGGCATTTTCCAGAAGTGGAGGACTAATTTGCTTTCTTTCATTAATAAATAGTTTGACAAATATAAGTCAGTCTCTGGGAGTGAATCTATTTTATATATATATATATATATATATATATATATATATATATATATATATATATATAGTGTGTGTGTGTGTGTGTGACGGAGTTTCACTCTTGTTACCCAGGCTGGAGTGCAATGGCGCGATCTCGGCTCACCGCAACCTCCGCCTCCTGGGTTCAGGCAATTCACCTGCCTCAGCCTCCCGAGTAGCTGGGATTACAGGCACGCGCCACCGTGCCCAGCTATTTTTTTGTATTTTTAATAGAGACGGGGTTTCACCATGTTGACCAGAATGGTCTCGATCTCTTGACCTCGTGATCCACCCGTCTCGGCCTCCCAAAGTGCTGGGATTACAGGCTTGAGCCACCGTGCCCAGCCAATCTATTATATTTTTAGTAATAGCTCTCTCTTTCATAATAGGCTGTCTGACTCTTAAAAGATATGTATTCCCACAGCCCACCATGGCCGGCCCTCATCTCCTGGTTATACCTCTGACACAAATTGTTTTCAAAACTCAAGTCAGAAATGGTCAACCTATATTGTTCTGGTTTCTTTCTCGTTTATTACTTATTCACTGCTTTACTCCCTTATTTGACTGTCTACCTTTTACCCAAGATCTGTTCAAAAGCCACCTCTCTCAGAAAGTCTGCATTCTTACAGCAGAAATAGTTACTACCTTTTCTAAGTCCTATGTACCTCTTATATATGACAACTTCACTTGTAATTGTTTTGTCTTGTGCTTGCAACTAGAATATAAATTTCTCAAGGGCATTATGAATTAGGCTTTACTCATCTTTAGATCCCCTCGTGTGGATCACAGTAATAGGCAGTGGATACATATTGTTAGATAATTGCCACAGGCAAAAATCATCTGTCATGTTGCTGAAGAGGAATGTCTAATTCTGAACAAGTAGAATTCTGCATACAGATTCTAGTACACCTGTTACAGACAAAGAGCTTTTCTATAAATAGAAACAACAAAATAAGAGATAAAGAAAGCTAAAATGTCTTGAACATGCATAGCCACTAAAATATAGATTATGTAGTCATACATGATTTGCTACCTAATAGTTTGGTGCTTTGTACAGGAAAATTTTCTATGCCTGAATTTTTTTATGTGTGATACGGGAATAATAGTAGTTCCTTTCTCCTGGCTTGATGTGAGTATTGAATGATGGGGGGACATTTGTATGATAAAAAGCAGAGAAACTATAACTTAGCAAAGGCTAAATGATTGTTGCTGTTTCTTTGACAGTGAAAAGTATTAATAGGAGTAGTAGTTCTAATAGTCTCAATCCCATGCTAGGTTATATTTGATATGTTTCCTAACCCTCACTAGAGCAATCCAAGGTATGTATTGTTCCCATTTTACAGATGAGAGTACCAAGTCTAAGAGAAGCTGGTTTATCCAAAGTTATAAAGCTTGAAAGTGGTACAAATGGGTTTGTAACTCAGAACAAATTCCAAAACTTTATTTTTTCCTTCTATATCATATCACCCATGGGCTATGATGAACTTATTTGGACTACTTTGTAACCACTTCTTCAATCACCATTTTTCTGATTGTAAAATAACACCTGGGATACTTATAGAATTTGTGAGAAACACAGAATAGTACAAAGATTACACATAATCCCTCTAGCAAGAAGAAGAAAAAAAAACTACTGAAAACACATATTTCAGCTAGCACTTACATCAGCACCTGTACATAAACTTTTGCCAATAGTGATTATTTCCTAAAGGTAGATTTCTAGCAGCAAAATTACTAGGAAGAGCATTTCTATAATAGGTTAAATATGTGCCCTGCTATTTTTCTAAATATTAAAATAAAATTCCAGTTTTGTGGTTGATCATCTCACAATATTTTTAACACATTTTCTTTAATTTTGCTACTTAAATATGTGAAAAATCATTTAATTTGTTGCTTCGATTACTAGTGTAGTTGAACATTGCTCTGTATCTTACTAATTTATATTTCTTCCTCTTCCTATTCTTTGACCATTTCTTAGTGTATTTTTTGTTTCCTTTTGTATTTTTATTCATTGCTATGCACTTTTTTGTATTTGAGGTATAGCACCTTCAGTGACAGGCAGAACAATCTTTCTAAAATACAAATTAGATGTCGCTTTCTCATTTCAAAGCCATCAATAGTTTCCTTTCAAATTAGGAAAAAAACAAACTCTAAGGCTTACATACATTTACTTTTTCTGTGCTTGCCTACCTCTTAACCTCATCTTGAACTCAACACTCATCATTCACACAGACTGTCTCTTTCTCTGACATTGTCAAGCCCTTTTCTGCTTTTGTGTTCTGCACCTGTGTTCTTCCTGCCAGGAATGTCCTCCTCATTTCCCTTCACACACTGGCTCCCTCTTAGCCTTCAGTGTTCAACTGAAACTCCACCTGACCCTTGCCTATTTCCTGCATATCACTTCTAATTATGTGCAATTATCTTCAAAA